GGCAGGGGGCGGGCACGGAAGCGCCTCAGGGGGATGCTGAGTGACAGGCGCGCGCGGGGCGCGCGGGCCTACCCATGTCTCGCACAGCTGTCGCTCCGGCCAGCCTCCGCCGCCGCCGCCACCGCGTCCTCAAGGACCTCGCGAACCGAAGCAGGCCAGCTTCCCGGGACACTGGCGGCCGCCCGGGGCTGACGCAAAGCCGGTGGATTGTGAGCATCAGATTTCAAGATGGCGCCGGCGGCCTTTTCGCAAGGTTCCTCTGGGAGTTGTAGTCCAGCCTGCAAGCGCCTGAACCCCTCCCTCCCCCCGAGCGCATGCGCGCTGGAGGGGGCAACCCCAGGAGCCGAGTCCAGAAATCAACGCACAGCCGCGATGAAGCGTGGAAACGGTCCACCATGGGTACCGAGAGGACAGCGGGATGGCTGCTTCGTGCTGCCAGGACACTTTTTATCTGCTACGATCTCACCGGAGAGGCGCCCCGGTTCGCCTCTGCGGGATGTCTGGGGCTCCTCCCCTTCGGTCCACCCGCGGTGCCACGTCGTCGGGATGGAGCAGCTTGGCAGCGCCCCGGGGTGCCACGGTGCGCGCGCCGCCTCCCCGCGCGGCCCCTCCTCCTCCCCACCCCGGGCCGGGGCCCCGGGCAGCGAGCTACGGGCGGGCGGGAGGGGAGGGGCCGGCTAAGGGAGGGGTGGGAATCAGAATTCCAGCCCAGCCCCTTCACGGACGTGTGACTGGAAAGGAGAAGATCAGGTAATCTCCGTTGGATGTTGGGGCAGGGCTGGGGGGAGAGGCGGGGCCGGGAAGTTACCATTTTAGGGGGTAAAAGAAAAAAATCAGGCAACGACACAAAGTAGACACCTGGGGAAATGTCCACCAGATAACTCCCGGTATGCACCGGGTTCATCACGATTTAGAAGATAACGAAAGAAAAATGGGCTTTGTCCAACCACCGAGGAGGCGATTCCCTTCACGGTTTTCTGTGGGGCTCGACTAGACTACACACCTACTTAGGGAAAGAGGAGGGTAGACAGACGAGCGAAAGAGATTGGGACCCAGCTTCCTGGACCTGAGTGCTGCTCAATTCTGAATTAGGGCTGGGAACTCTGTCTTCAGAACCCCCACACAGTTGCACCTCCCCTCCACCCCCAACTTAGAATGCACCTAAAAAAGAGAGAGGCCTGAGCTGGATCTGGAATTCCACAATTCTGGTAACAGCTCTTTATATTCAAGGATTTTCTCCCTGCCTAGAAGGCAAGCAGATAACAGACAGGAGGAGTTATAACACCTCAGCCACCACTCAAAGGCCACCTTTTATAATGCTAAAATCCACCAACTTGGAAGTGGTGCTGTGGCTCAAGTGGTAGAGCATTGGCCTTGAGCTGAAAGCCCAGAGTTCAAGCCCCACAACCGACCCCTGCCTTCCAAAAAAAAAAGAAAAAAATCTAATCACAAAATCCACCAACTTGACCTTAGGAGGTAGGCCCTGGAAGAGTCAGTTTCTAACCCTTAATCTGCAGCACAAAGCCCTGGTTCCTAAATTTAATGACCCACATATGTCAAACTTTTCATTGAGGATTAAATGAGATGATCTGCTGGAAAATGTTAACGTTTAGCTTACTATTAACGTTCTTATTTTAATATTATCAGAATAAGAGTATATTAAACTAATTTTTAAAACATAGTTGTACTGTGCTAATCACCAAAGCAAAAGCTTGTAGCTTCACATAAAAGCTAGACTTGAGAGCCATGACAGACTTTGTCTCTATAATCTCATCTAAATATACGCGTTCTGACCCTACACGCAAGACTGTAACATAGACTTCCAAATGGAAATACAGCTGCATTTTAGCAGCTAGGATGTGAGCTTACTATAGTCTTGTGAAATTAACCCATAATCTTTGGATTGATTCTTCAGTGATCTGTAGAAAGGCAAGGAGTTTTTCAACACACCTTGAAAGACAAACAGCTTATACCCAGACACCTCTACATACCCACTTACTTGTCCCAAAGAGCAGTAAGGACTCAAAAATCCATGAAAACATAAATTTATGTGCTTTATTGAAATCTTTAGGAGCCAACCTTAAGACTTTGCATGTGACTGATGTCCTCTAAATTTGGGTGGGTTTTTTTTTTCATTATTGTTTTGTTTGAATTCGAAGTCTTGGTTTATCCACTCAACACTAGCATTCTACCACCTGAGCCATACCACCACTTCTGATTGGTGCTTAATTGGAGATAAGAGTCTCCTGGATTTTTTTTTTCTGCCTGGGCTGGCTTTAAACCTCCATCCTCAGACCTCAGCCTCCTGAATAGCTAGTACCCAGCTTCCCTCCAAATTTAATGACACAAAATAGATGATTTGCCTTAGAAACTCAAGGCCCTACATTCAAATAATAAGAAAACAGTGGTGCCACTGAAGTATATATTTGCTGGGCTGGGAAGGTGGCTCAGTGGTAGATTGCTTGCCTTGCAAGCATGAGGCCCTAGGTTTGATTCCTCAGCACCACATAAGCAGAAAAAGCCAGAAATGAGGCTGTGGCTCAAGTAAGTGGTAGAGTGCTAGTCTTAAGCTGAAGAACTGAGGGACAGTGCCCAGGCCCAGAGTTCAGCCCCCACAACTGACCAAAAATAAAATTAAATAAAAATATGTTTGCTATAGGTAAACACTAAGAGAACTATACATATCTGGCTTCTCACAGGAATAATATTCCTTATTTAACAATCAAAGAAAATACTTAAAAATTGTATCTCAGAGCTAGCAGTAAGCTATTGTACTAGACTTAATCCTAACATGATCATCTGCTATTAGAAAATAATATAATCACAAAAAGATGACCTGTATGTGGACAACAACCTTGAAACTCAAAAAACCTTATAAGAAAACATGTTACAACAGAGTTAGCACTTCCTGATCTCTATTAATACCTTCATCAGGTTTTTGTAGTTAACACTGACTGCTTATTGGGAAGCAAACAAAATTGAGGGAGAACAGCTAAATGATATTTTTCTCTTTATTCCATGTACTATGTATCATTTGAATTTTGGGCAATGAATTCAGATAACACTTTTGATTTTCTTCTAAATTTAGAAAAGATTTCATAGTTAAAACTAAGGATTATTCCAGTTGAACACACTAATCATCTGGGTCTAAGACTAAGGAAAGTGAAACAGAAAGTGAGGATTTCCGTAATATATGATAACTGTATGTATATGTATATATACATATAAATAAAATGTGGACAATTTATTAACAAAGTTTCAAGCCAGTCACTGGTGGCTTATACCTGTAATCCTAGCTACTCAGGAGGCTGAGATATGCGGATCGTGGTTCCAATCCAGCCCCAGTAAGAAAGTCCATGAGACTTTTTATCTCCAATTCACCAGCAGAAAACTGGAAGTGGCGTTGCAACTCAAAGTGGTAGAATGCTAGCCTTGAGTGAAAGAGCTCAGGGACAGTGCCCAGGCCCTGAGCTCAGGCCCCACAATTGACAAAAAAATAAAAAGTTTCAAATCAAATATACAAATTATGAGTAGTGGTTTTATCTGGAGAGTGGGATTATGGGTAATTATTTGTTTTTGTTTCCTCATTTGTATTCTGTAGTTTTTCACAACAAATACATGTTGCTTTTGTGGTAAGAAAAAAATGTGTTGCTAAAAAAGTGTAGGATAAACATATTTTGGAATGTTCATACAAGGTAATATCAACCAGCAATTGAAAAGAATGAACCCTGATACATGAAACATACATGAAGCTCAAAAACATTGTAAGTCAAATGGGTCATATGCAGGTGAGTACATCTGTATGATTCCATTTATTTAAAGTCTAAAAATAGGAAAAGCATCTACAGGAACAGAAGTCATGGAGTGGTTTCTGGGTGATGCAGATTTTATACATCTTGCTTTGGATGTTAATTACATGGGGTTGTACAATTGTCAGATCTCATTGAGCTAAGGATTTACATCTATATAGATTCTATGCCTGTTTATATATTTCAGTAAAAAGGTGCAATTAACTTAAGAGAATTTGCCATAGTACCTGAACTTGAACTCAGCCTCATGCTCTTGGTTGGCTTGCTTGTTGTGCTGGTGCCCTCTCATTTGAAGCATGCCTCTACTCCCGTATTGTACTAGTGAATTGGAGACAGTCTCTAATTTTTCTGCCTGGGCTTTCTGTGATTCTCAGCCTTCTGAGTAGCTAAAATGACAGGTGTTAGCCACTGGCTTCTGGTTTGGAAAACACTATTTTAAATGCTTAAGCACTCACTCATGATTACACTACTTGTGACTGAAATAAAGAATGTTGTTAGCAAGGTGCTGGTGGCTCACCCCTGTCATCCTAGCTTCTTAGGAGGCTGAGATCAGAGGATTGCGGTTCAAAGCCAGCCCAGGCAGGAAAGTCCATGAGATTCTTATCGCCAATAAACCACCAGAAACTGGAAGTGGCACTATGGCTCAAGTGGTAGAGCACTTGTCTAGAGCTGAAGAGCTGAGGGACAGTGCCCAGGCCCAGAGTTCAAGCCCCATGACCGACAAAAACAAAAAACATTGTTTCTTTTTTTTTTGGGGGGGGTCTGGTAGTGGGGCCTGAACTCTGGGCCTGGGCACTGTCCCTCAGCTCTTCAGCTCAAGGCTAGCACTCTACCACTTGAGCCACAGTGCCACTTCTGGCTCTTTTCTTTTTGCTTATGTGGTGCTAAGGAATCAAACCCAGGGCCTCATGCATGCAAGGCAAGTGCTCTACCACTGAGCCACCTTCCCAGCCCACAAAAAACATTGTTAAGGTGAGACTAAGGGCTTTTGTGTGATGATTTATATAGTAAATGTATATAATACAGCAAATGGGTAGTAAAATGTATTGAAGGCATATAACAAACACAAATGTGAGAACAAGCTTCACAGGATGAAAAGCTATTCTGAATTAAATAATAACGTTAAATTTATGTATTAGCAGTTATCCTCAAAATGAATTGATAAACCTATTCACAACATGTATTAGCTATATATTCCAGGTGAAGTCACTTGTGCCTGGCCAGTAATTTCTTAATGTACAATATAAATGTTAAATTTAATCAGTAGTTTTCTATTCTAACTTTAGCATGCATCAGCATCAGCTACAGGGATATGTTAAAATGCAGAATGCTGGGACCTGCCACCTAGAGATGTGATTCAGTAAATAGATTTGGGGTGTGCCCCAAGAATTTGCATTCCTAACAAATTCTCAGACCTTGCTGACACTGCTGTCTGAGAACCACACTTTGAAAGCCACTGAACTAGAACTGTCCAAAGCTGTATTCAGAAAAAAACCAACAAACAAACTCACTCATAGCCAGGTAGCAGTGGCTCACTCCTATAATCCTAGCTACGCTAGGGATCAAGATTCAAAGCCAGCTCAGGCAAAAATGTCTGTGAAACCTTTATCTCCAATTAACCACCAAATGCTGAAAGTTAAAGGTGGGGCCCAAGTGGTAGAAAGCTAGCTTTCAGGGAAAAAAAAAAAAGCTCAGCAGGAGCATGAGCCCCACTAGCCCTAGGTTCAAGCCTCATGACTGGCACACACACACACACACACACACACACACACACAAACCTGAAGAAAGAAGGGAGGAAGAAAGAAGGGGAGCCCGGTGCTGGTGGCTCACGCCTGTAATCCTAGCTACTCAGGAGGCTGAGATCTGAGGATCGCGGTTCAAAGCCAGCCCGGGCAGGAGAGACTGTGAGACTCCTATCTCCAATAAACCACCAGAAAAACCGGAAGTGGCGCTGTAGCTCAAGTGGTAGAGCGCTCGCCTTGAGCTGAAGAG